GGGGGAAATGGGAAAAAATGGGTGGGAAATGGGAAAAAATGGGTGGGAAATGGGAAAAAATGGGGGGGAAATGGGAAAAAATGGGTGGGAAATGGGAAAAAATGGGTGGGAAATGGGAAAAAATGGGGGGGAAATTGGGAAAAAATGGGGGGGAAATGGGAAGAGCGTGAGGAAATGGGATGGGGTGGGTCTGGAAATGGGAATTTTCAGGTTTGGAATTTTGGAATTTTGGAATTTTGGAGTTGGGAATTAGGGGATTTGGAATTTTGGGAATTTGGGAAATTTGAGATTTTGGGGTTTGTGAGTTTTGGGTTGGGGATTTTAGGATTTGGGATCTTGGGATTTCGATTTCGAGACTTCAAGATTTGGGATTTGGGGTTGGGAATTTTGGGATTTGGAATTCTGAGGTTTGGGATTTCAGGATTTTGGGATTTGGGGGTTTTGTGATTGGGAATTTTGGGATTTGGGATTTGGGATTCTGGGATTTCGGATTGGGAATTTTTGGGATTTCGGGATTTGAGGATTTTGGTAATTTTGTGACTTTGGGGGTTTGGGACTTGGGGAAATTTGGAATTTTGGGATTGGGAATTTTTGGTATGTGAGAAAATTTTGATTTTGGGAAATTTGTAATTTTGGGATTTAGGATTTTGGCGATTTTGTGATTTTGGGGATTTTGTGATTTTGGGATTTAGGATTTTGGGAAATCTGTAATTTTGTGATTTGGGATTTGGGATTTTGGGAAATTTGTGATTTTGGGATTTGGGATTTTGGGATATTTGTGATTTTGGGATTTGGGATTTTGGGAAATTTGGGATTTTGGGAAATTTGGGATTTTGGGAAATTTGGGATTTAGGATTTTGGGAAATTTGAGATTTTGGGATTTAGGATTTTGGGAAATTTGAGATTTTGGGATTTGGGATTTTGGGAAATTTAGGATTTTGGGATTTAGGATTTTGGGAAATTTGTGATTTTGGGATTTGGGATTTTGGGAAATTTGTAATTTTGGGAGATTTGTGATTTTGGGAGATTTGAGATTTTGGGATTTGGGATTTTGGGAAATTTGTGATTTTGTGATTTGGGATTTTGGGAAATTTGTGATTTTGGGATTTGGGATTTTGGGATATTTGTAATTTTGGGATTTGAGATTTTGGGAATTTTGTGATTTTGGGATTTAGGATTTTGTGAGATTTGGGATTTTGGGAATTTTGTGATTTTGGGATTTAGGATTTTGAGAATTTTGGGATTTTGTGATTTTGGGATTTTGGGAATTTTGAGAATTTTGGGATTTGAGATTTTGGGAAATTTGAGATTTTGGGATTTCGGATTTTGAGAATTTTGTGATTTTGGGATATTTGTGATTTTGGGATTTGGGGTTTTGGGAATTTTGTGATTTTGGGGTTTGGGATTTTGGGAATTTTGGGATTTTGGGATTTGGGATTTTGTGATTTTGTGATTTTGGGATTTTGGGAATTTTGTGATTTTGGGATTTGGGGTTTTGGGAATTTTGTGATTTTGGGATTTTGGGAAATCTGTGATTTTGGGATTTGTGATTTTGGGGTTTGGGATTTTGGGAATTTTGGGATTTTGGGATTTTGGGATTTTGTGATTTTGGGAATTTTGTGATTTTGGGATTTGGGGTTTTGGGAATTTTGTGATTTTGGGATTTTGGGAAATCTGTGATTTTGGGATTTTGGGATTTTGAGAATTTTGTGATTTTGGGAATTTTGTGATTTTGTGATTTTGGGAAATCTGTGATTTTGGGCTCCCCCAGGCACGGACCCGGCGCTGTCGGACCCCGAGCTGGCGCAGCGGCTCCGGCGGAACCGGCGCCTGGCGCTGGCCCGGCTGGACGACGTCATCGCGCGCTTCGCCCAGCGCCAGGAGCAGC